GCAACAAAGCCTAACTCCTCAAAAATAAGGTAGGTGTTTCTATGTACATACTCAAGTATGCAGAAAAATGTGACTTTGTAAATTAACCACAAGAATACTGCCTCTCCCCAAATCCAATGAGAACTAACTATGTTTAAGAAACATAGAATGCTGAGAGTCAGTTTTAGAGTTTACAGGATCCAGGAGGGAAAGATTTGTTGTGGATTTCCCGATTGTTTTCCCTTCCTGAGATTCCTCACAGGGCCCCACCTGGTTTTCAATGAATGCAAAACCACTTAACTGTTCTTTGGTATTCTGCATTTGCTCTGTATTCTAACATAACTGACACCTGTCTCCCAAAGCTGACAATCATGTTTGCTTTAGACTCTGTAAAAGCTTTGACAAATATAGCTAAAATCAAAACCAGGACAGCTGGTTAGCAAACCGTATACTGGGGAACATATGTGAAACAAAACAGACACATAGATAGCAGGGCAAGTATGTGGCTCTTTCACCAATTGTATGAAAAAGTCCACAGAATTATCATCTGGTTGCTCACTTCATACACTTTTACCATCCAGATGAGGCTGTACTGTGACTAAGCAGTTCCTGTGTTTCTGGGATTGCATGAATGTGAATGGGCCTGGCACAAATGGTAGAATTAAGATATTTTGCTGTTTCTGCCAGGCAAAATCATACTCATATTTTTTATATCATTATAAGCTTCTCTGCCATTATAGAATGACTTCGCAAATACAGATTAAGTCCAAGGGATCTCATGTCAAGATACTCTAAATTGCTGCCCTTTTGATCTAATGACATTTCTCAACTCATGCATGAGAACATTGCCCTGACCTGGTGTAGATTAGAGCAGGTGTCCCCAATGTGGTGCCCTGCCAGCACCTTTCCTGGTGCCCACAAAGTGTTTTTAGAAAGTAGGTGGGGCTCCTGGCCACCTGGGTGTCTGATTGGCTGTGCAGATTAAATTAACAATGCTTCCACAGCAGTTGCCACTACAGTGTTGGTTTTATTCTCTCTTATTTCCCAGTGTATTTTTTTTAATTACTGCTCGTTCCCGGCATTTGGGCTATCTCTGTGTGGCTCCACCATGTGTAGTGGCCATTTTGTGGTTGGCTCCATCTTCTGTGGCAGCCATTGTGTGGTATGTCCACCATCCTGTGCCGGAATTTCCTTTTTAATTTTTTAAAAACATTTTTAAACCAGAATTTCAAAGGTCCCCACAGGATCAAAAAGGTTGGGGGGGCTCCTGGATTAGAATGTGAAGAATCACAATGATAACACAGTATACTGAGTACAGAAAACAAACAAGCACTGTATAAATAACGCAGACCATGGAGTGCACAAAGGTCATGCAAAGCAAAATTATATTATAACTGTCACGACTCAGGTGGGGTGTCACCTGACGATGCCACCACTCTGGATTTAGGTTCCCTTGAGAAGGCCCAGAGTACCCTCCCAAGACCTTCAGACTTTCCTTTAGGCCGAATAACAGGCGTGAGGACCTGTATGTAGGATTTTTCCTACATATACATGATTGAAGTCTTCTGTACATTATCAGTACTTTATGAAGGTAATATTTACCTTTTGGTATATAGGATATGGTTTTGTTTATTGTTAATATGATAATAATGGTTTGGACTTTACTTAGAATTCTAGTAGTTTGAACTCTTTGAAGAAGAACCCTCGAAATGGATCAAAATCCGGAGTCTTCGTCAACTACTTATGAACTTATGTATACTATTTATGGACTTGCACATTTATGATGTAATCTTGCTTTACTGATATATGTGGTCCCTTGTTATTTTTGCTTTTGTTATAATTTTCCGTTGCATGACTTTTGTGCACTCCATGGTCTGTGTTATTTATACAGTGCTTTATACAGTGCTTGTTTGTTTTCCAAGAATCACAATGAGCCATTCTCTGGGATATTATATCTTTTACAATCAGGAGACCTCCAAAGACTTGCTGGAAGCCCCTACAATAAAGTAATGATTTCTACATAGTGAATAAATTATGTAAACTGAACACCTTTGCAAAACTTGCCATTTGAATAGTTTATTCTGCAGGCATTAGCATTTTACATAAATGATGGTATTTTGCTAATCATAGCAATGGGCCAAGAACTGTTCTGTTGGTCTTTAAGGTGTGACTGGACTCTCGTTCTGTTATGCTGGACAATGAAGTCTGACTCCTATCACTGAAAACAATTTTTGGTGACCAATCTAGGCACAAAACTACTGCCACACACTTTAAATATATTTTAAGACAGACCCAAAATGATGAACAGCCATACTGCTTTTTAAAGATACAAAGTGACTTCTGCATCTTGTCAAATGGCATGCAATGCCTCAAGCAAATTAATGGCACTGCTAAAAATAAATTGGAAAAATTGTATCAGCAAGCCAAGGATGCTAAGTCCAAAATAAGCTGCATATAGGGGACTGCATGTGTTCTGGGTAATCTGGCATTTGGATCAGGCCTAAGTTTCTAATTAAATTTGCAGTCAATTCTTCTGCCTCACTGGGGTTAAGACAGTGTATTTTGGTTTTAGGTTCTTGGATTGGTAGATAAGCAAAGAAAAGCTGTTAATATGGACAGTTAAGTTGAAAGACAGTTCTATAGGTCTAGGGCATGGTGTAAGGCAGTGTTAATTAACCTTGAAGGGCACCTCTTTTGGTATCTTAGTCTCACAATACAATGGGATAGGTTCGGTCCAAAGGTGTTTCCATTTGAGCAGGAGCAATTCCACTTCAACAAATGCTTGTGAGTCTGTGATTCCCATTTGAGTTTCAGCCTCACACATTCTTGTGTTGAGGATCCCCCAACTCTAAGAAGTAGGCTTTTTGGCAATTCAGGGTGCTGTAGAAGACATGGCAAATAGCCATTCTTTGAGTAGGACACCACTCATGGTTCTTTAGACTATTATTCTAAACATTGTTTCAGGTAGTTTCTCAACAGGTCTTTCTGTTAACCACAAAGTCAGATGTAGTTATCAGGATTGTAGAACTAAAGTCAAAGTGATGAATTGCATTTAATGTTTGAAATAAAAATGTGCAGAATACTTACAAACTTCTGGAGAAATGCACAAGAACAAGACCCTGCTTACTCATTCCAGACTGTGGCAGAAACATTTACCGTTTTAAAAATCTAAGATGCTTCACAATTTCTGTTTATGATGGACCTTAAAACAATTCAAGTCCCATTAAAGCCAGCAGAAGATGCATATGAAAAATTAATAAAAGATAAAAACAACCTCTAATATTTCATTTTTATGGTAGAATCTTGACTTGTTTAATATAAAGCAACAAATATGAAGTAGGATTCTTTCCCCGACTTAACACTTAGCCCCTTATAACATCAGGAAATAGTTTTCCCAATATGTTGCCAAACATAATAGCTACAAGAATCAATGGCTCTTAAAAAGGTATTTGTGAACACATGAAAGACTAATAAAATATGCATTTTCCACTAATATTCTACAGTGCAAACTGCGTACCTCAGTTTCAGCTTATCAGATGTGCACACCAACTGTGAAAACTTTGAAATTATTCCAAAATTACAGTGTTAATGTTCTGCCCAGGAAACGTTAGGTTACATTCAAAATCAGTAGACAAAGGCACATACTTTACATTTTGGCAAGAACATGTGGATGTCCCTTGTTACCATAAAATACAATACTAGCTGCATAGCAGCATTCAACCACTCGCTTCCATATGACTAAGGACAACTTCACACTTGGCACCCCCCCTGCCCCTGCTTTGATTCCTGATTGGAATACAGTATATATAAAATATATACTGTACATCTCTTCATAAGAGATGTAATCCTATCCACAGTGATTATCTTGTGGGAAGCCACCGTGAAGCATCAGGAAACTCTGGAATGTTCACCACTCTGTATGGCACACATACTATAAGTTAACAGTAGCTTGGCTGAAGAGTCCTAACAAGCACTTCTGGGAATCTAGCACAGCAATAAACAAACTGGGATCACAGCAAATAACAATATAACAGAACAATTACCGTGTCAGAACTAGCAATGAATCCAATTAAATATTTACCAAATGCTGTATGTATGTATATATATTTAATGAATAAAGTGCTGAAATATCGTAGTGTTTAAATTACGGTAATAATAATATGATCTTCTATGTATCATCCTAATAATAATCACAGAAGTAAGTCATCTTGAAAAAATACAAACGACGTCCCGTATTTAATCACATTATTATCCAGAGAAGGACATGAAACAATGTTACATTGTCTATAGTATTCTGAACTTGTTCAAAAAGTCCTCCTTAAAGTAACCAAGTCCCTGAGGGGGGATGTCTGTTGATCTTCAAGCTTTCAAAGCATCAGCACAACCAAAGCTCTACAGATGTTCAACAGCAAACGTTTCAAGTCACCTCTTTTTCAAGAGCTGACAATCCTTTCCTTCGAGTGGTCAGTCTCCACTAATTAATGCATTTGCTTCCTAATTCACAATGTCTCAAGTGATTCAAGTTGGGTATAGCTATGATTATTGATTGATATAGCTATGATTATTATTAGAATGATACACAGACATTTATATTATTATTATAATTTAAACACAAAGATATTTCAGCACTTTATTCATTAAACACAGACACACAGAGAGCACTTGGTAAATATTTAATTGGATTCATTGGTAGTTCTGACACGGTAACTGTTCTATTCTGGGAATCTAGCATAGGCAGATTACAAATTATTTAGCCTCAATTATTAAACATATTAAATAAAAGTAATTACAGACCAAGGGGTATTGAAAAAAGCAAGAAATCTGTTGGTAAAATTAAAAGAGCAACACATTTTGTGAACAAAAGTAACTAAAGTCAGTTAACAATATAATGCAATCAAAATGTAATTTCTTATTTTGGTCTCCTCTTCTTTTTGACTTTTAAAAAATAGTTTGTACTCTACCAACTTGGGAAAAACTAGATTGAAATAAAAAAGCAAGATGTTGGTAGATATTAGCTTTGGTTTTTAGTTTGTAACACCGCTATAATATTGTTGTGAATGAAAGAACCACAAAACTTGGGCAGAAAAAACCACACAGGGGTGGATTTTAACAGCTTTCCATTGGTAGAAGCATTTTTGTACCCTGGCTTCCCCTCCAGGCCCCCTGAAAGGCAATGCAGGACCAAACAACCTGCTGGACAAAAAAAACATTATGGGGTGCTGCAGTGATGGGGGAAATGAGGGAAAATAACCTTCCTCATTCTTTTGCCACCAGAATGCTGACTGGATTGCATTTGTAAGCCTAGTGTATTGTCAGCAAATACATTCATTGGTCCATTTAAGTTACTTATCTATAAACAAATAAGAGTTTGATTCAAGCTTCCATGAACACAGCAAGTTAGCTGCGGCATTCTATAGTGCCTTCCTGTCCCTCAGCAACCTTCTGACCTCTGAAAAGCTGCTGATGAGGATTAGGTTGCTTTCCAAAATACTATGCCAGGCAGTGTGGAAAACTGGAAGGGGGGGGGGTTTGCCCAATATGCTTTCTTCACTCTTGCAGGTCTAAAGGAAGCCTCATTAATAATAAAAAAACTAGCTGGCATGAGAATATGGGAAGGATGATTCTGATGGATATCCCCTTCTGCTGTAGTCACACATGCCATGTGGTATATTGTTCAAGAGCATCTTCCAGCTCCAGCAAGAGCACCTTTTCCAGGGGTCAGGGTTGTTCAGAAAAGTATAAGAAGTCATTCTTCTATAGCTCTTTCTGTTGGCCAAAGCACTTATCATGTTAATCATGTGCAAACAGGTAAACCACTAATGGATGGAAAACAGTGTGTTAGAACAGCTCCTCTGCAGGACTTCTTGAAAAAAAATTAGGAGCACAACGACATACAGATTGTTTCCCACAATGGCCATAGGTCACAAGTCGCAATTTATCCAAAGTTCCATTAATAAGGCTTTATTTACATTTCATTATAAATTCATGAACGAGTTTTTATGTGATGTGAAAGACAGGACAAGGTGCGTAAGACTGTAGGATCTCCTTACACTATAATACTGACCCACAGCCAGCCAAATAAAGTCCCATATATCCATGTTTTAACATAAAGTTTTCTTCCAGATTCTGTCAGTAACATACTAGCAGTCAGGCCAGTTAAAAACAGTAAGGATGGCAATGTTTTCTTGAGGCTTAGTTTGGAAAGAACACACTTCCCAGGGAACTTGTTTCTTCGTTTAGAATCTTTTGCATCATAGAATTCTATTAGTAACCTAAGAACAAAGAAAGAGTAAGAACATACACAGAACAAAGTCACATTTGTGTACCATATCCTTTTGGTTAGGAATTATTCAGTGCCACAGAATACGACTTCAAATCCTTAAATGTAATTATAAAATAATTGAAATTAATAGACCTCACAAATTATTGTGGCCATATGAGCGAACACAATCCCTTCATGTAACACTGTTAGTGTTTCTTCATCAGTTCATCCCTCAACAACAATTACCTATTCCCCCTTCCCATCTAGTATTTAATCAGCTGGAAAATTATGTGGAACAAAGTTTTGAGCTTCAAAGTTCTTTCCCCCGGGCAGAATTAATGAATTGACTTTATTCTAGACACCGAGGACTACACAACTGTAAGAAATGTGACAGTTCTGTACTAAATTATTGAGTTAATAACTTCTACCTCATCAGATCATTATAACATGCATTTCCCTGACCTAACCACTAGGTGTAATTAGTGATGACAGAGAGTGCTCAGTGAGATGATACGTTGTAGATTCTGCTGCATGTGATTGCATGTATGTGGAGGGGACTCATCACAGGGTTGCTGTTTCTATTAACAGCCTCATGTTTCTTATAACCAGGGCTATTTTGGGGCAGGAACGCACAGGAACGGAGTTCCGGTGGGCTTCATAGTTGGCCACACCCACTACAGCCAAAACCTCTGCGTGGGAAGGCCTGGAGAGCAAACCCCCCTGGAAGGATTGGGGAGACATTTAAATGCCTCCCCATGCCTTTCCCAGCCTGTCTAAGGGCTGGCTTGCCCAGGCTTCCCACGGGCAAGCCAAGGGGAGGCAGTTTGAACTGCCTTCCCTTCCCTTCAAGGGGGGGCTTGCCTGGGCTTCCTGCAGCCACGGGGCGCCCGGGCAAGCTAAGGGAAGGCATGGGGTGTGGCCTAATATGCTAATGAGCTGTGCTATCGGGGTGTAGCCTAATATGTTAATGAGTTTCTGCTGTTGGGTGTGGCCTATTATGCTAATGATTTCCTGCTGGGCTTTTTCTACAAAAAAAGCCCTGCTTATAACATATTGTGCTACTGAAAGAGGCCTAAATTAATGCTTCGGACATGGTGCACTGATTTGAATCAAGCTGATTTAAGTAATCAAGGAACAAAAGGCAGGTTTTTAAGTCACTGTGTTCCAATGTTTCAGTTTCATGCACTCTTCCTTTAAAGCAAGGAGTTATACAACAGCAGAAGATGTGAGCTCTGCCTGCACAAGATGACTGGTCCTTGCATCAGAGGAAGGTTCTAACTGCTTTACATTAAGTTTCCAATGGTCTAATTTAAACATGTCATAAAAAACACATGGAATTTTTTAATGAAAAAAAGAGTTATCTACCCTAGCTTAGAACAAACAGCGAAGAGTTATATCAACATTTCACAGCAGCAATAGCAGTCAAATTAATGATTTCTCACTTAACACCTGATGGCGTGATGACTGGAAAACCATCCCTGCCACAGGAAGTGGTGGCGGCTACAAGCATGGATGTCTTCAAAAGGGAATTAGATAAGCATATGGAGCAGAGGTCCATCAGTGGCTATTAGCCACAAGGTATAGATAGAGGCTCTGGGGCAAGTGATGCTCTGTCTTCTTGGTGCTTGGGGGGGGGGCAACAGTGGGAGGGCTTCTAATGTCCTGGCCCCACTGGTGGTCCTCCTGATGGCCCCTGGTATTTTTGGCCACTGTGTGACAGAGTGTTGGACTGGATGGGCCTTTGGCCTGATCCAACACTGGCGTCTCTTATGTTCTTATGTTATCATCACATGTAACCTAATATGGACAAAACTTTTTAGCACATACAAGCATTCTGTGTAAATAGCAAGGGTAACCATGGGCCAATCACACTCTTTAAGCCTAACTTACAGGGTTGTTCTGAGGTTAAAATGCAGGAGGGATGAAACACATAGACGGCCCTGAACTCTGAGGAGGAAGGGTAGGATAAAAAGGTCAGAACTAAAAGCTATCCAAAGTTGATAGATTTAGCTTTTGTTAACAGCAGTCAAACTTGAAGTGATTAAACTCTGACTTTTATGGGTATTATAATTGTTTTTAATGTATTTTTATAATGTTTAACTTATATTGTAAGCTACCTTGAATTCCACAAGGGAGAAGAGTGGCTAATAAATGTTTTAAATAAACAAACCTACACTGAGGTTAACAGAAACCTCAAACTAGACCAATGATGCTGTAAATGCAGTACAGTGAACTTTAACTACTTACTTATCCTTGATTTCAAAACGTTCATGAAGCCATCTTCTCATGTACATCTGTTCTTTTGGAATATCCTTTACATCAATTCGATCAACATAAATATGGATTCTTGGGCATTCCTTACAGAGAAAGTCTAAAAACCCAAATGGATATAATCAATAGTCCAGGTTATATAGAATCAAGATTTATAGAAAAGATGTTTCATTATTGCAAATTCACAGTAGGATTCCTATCTATCTCAAAGCTGGCTGCTCTGCACCATTTTGTATCAGTAGTTCATGGGTGGTGGGAAAGAAAGCATGACGTGACTGAGGAACAACAACAATAGTCATCATCTCTTATAAACCCTGGGTTGGAACCAATGTACCCTTTCTTCTAATGGCACAGCATTCTTCCATGAGTGTTCTTCTGGCAGAAGAGACATGGCACATTAGCACACGACTCTTTGCATTAGCAGAAAACGTACTGTGTCAAAGAGAGGCTCTACCCATCATTAGAACAGGATTGTTGGATAGATTTTCCTTTGGAAAGCATTAAAAGTATTATACTTGCTTTACATATGTCTATATCACTTCCAACGAGCCGCGGTGGCTCAGAGGTTGACACTGAGCTGCAGACCAGGTCTGTAGTTTGGCAGTTCAAGACCCTAGTGCCATGTGACAGCGTGAGCTCCTGTCTCTGGCCCCAGCTCCTGCCAACTTAGCAGTTTGAAAGCAAGAAATGGCAAGTTGATAAATAGGTACCACTTCGGTGGGAAGGTAATAGTGTTCCGTGCACCTCGGCGTCTAGTCATGCTGGCCACATGACCACAGAGAAGTCTTCGGACAGCGCTGGCTCTTCGGCTTGGAAATGGAGATGAGCACCGCCCCCTAGAGTCGGATTTCACTAGCTTCCGAGCAAAGGAAACTTTTACCTTTATATAACTTCCAATCTAACAAAACAGTTGAAAGTGGGTTTCCAAAGATTCCATGCACATATGATCCCGCCCCAATGGATCATAAGTTGGATTCTTCCAGCTTTTCCACTCAATCAATTCCCCTCCTTAGTACAGCCCCAGCCCCACAGTGTTTTTGTACACAGGGGTTCCATAATCCCCAGTGTGGCCTTTTTCAGTGGTCAGGTAGGACCCCTTCTTCCTTTTTTTCCAGTGGAGGAACTGGTTAGATCCAATATCATAGCTACCAAAGGTGCACACACAAGACAAAGACACACTTTGGGTGTACACATAATTTTATTGAATCCATTTGATCTTGAGAATCAAGGTATCAGGATCAAAGGGATACTCATGAATTTCAAGGTGTGAAATTTAGAGCCACCTGGAACTATGTATGGAATCTTAGGTATACCACACAAAAACTTTCTGGTACTAATTTAGACAAAATACTTGAACATAAATGGGTGGTTATGTCCCAGGTCAGTCCTGCTACTAAAAATATTAATCCCATCCAACTGGATTTTAATATTTAATTCTGTCTTGCTTCATTATGATTTGTATGTTTTGGATAACATAACAACTGCATGCCCAGGAATATAAATCTCTAATAACTATCCTTCTGAAATGTTAAAAATACTGAATGTTTTCTTTTGCCTCTTCTGTTTGTGCACTGCTTATATGTTTGTACGTTACAGAAAGGTTGCTGAAGTTGAAAACTAAGGTTCTGGTTGATGGTGGCATGCTAGACAGACGCATCTCCCGGACCTCCCGGGGATGCGGTCTGTGCACGGCGGGAAGGAGGGGGAGCGCTGGCCCGTTACCTCCCCAGGGAGCCTGGCGGAAGGCTCCTAGCCAGGGGACTTATGAGGAGTCGCCTCTTCGCCTATGCGTTGTGGGTGAATTGAGGCGCTCCTCCGTCCCAATGGTCCTTCCTGCGCAGTGCCCGAATGGGACCTAGTGACGCCGACCAGGGCAAGCGTAGGAGATCGAGCGGGCAAAATTATGCAAAGTGAGGTCGGAAGACCAGATATGAACGTGAGTCGGACTGAGCGATTAAAGAGAAAAAGAAAGCTCCCTACCCCATGTTGAAAAACTGAGAGTGAAGTGTGCGGGGGAGGGACGCCTCCTAACCGCACGAACTTTTGAGCGAATTGAGGGGGGGGGAGTGGAAGAAAAAGCATGTATAACTGTTAAGAAATACTTACCAAGGCGAGTTCAGGCGTTTGAGCGCATATTCAGAGACTTTCAAAATATTTTTCAAAGTAAACAATTGAGAAAGATGGCGGGGAAAAGGACGGAGAAAGAGAAACTTTCAAAAGTGAAACTAACGGAGAGCCCTAAACCGGAAAGAACCAATGAGCTGGCAAAGACTTTGGCAGAATCCATGCACCCTCTACTGGACCAAATGAGTAACCTCAAGGATCAGGTGTCGAAAATGACTCAGTGCATCACCACGTAGCAGACGCAGATAACCGAGACACTTAAAATGATGAATGAAACGGCTGAAAGGGTGAAAAAAGTGGACGCCACTGCACAAAAGGGGAAAAGGAAGTTCAAAAGCTGGAAAAGAAGCAAGTTTCTACAGAAGAGCAACTGCTACAACTACAAATGGAAAAGGCTAATATGATTCTTCGCTTTCAGGGCTTGCCAGAGACAAAGGGAGAGAATCTTAAGGAACTAATGAGTGAAGTATTGGCCCCAGTAACAGATATGAAGGTGGAACTCTTGTTAAATGAAATGGATGTGGCCTATAGGTCATATTCAGGATATATAAAGAAAAATAATCTGCCTGGGGAAATTGTGGTAAGATTCTCGAAGAGGCATGTGAGGGATACAATCCTGAAAGCAGTATCTGGAGCACCCCTGAAAGTGGGGGAGAATACCATCAGAACGTTAAAAGTCATTCCATTTGAAATAAGACAAAGGAGAAAGAAATATAAAGAATTAATTCTTTTTCTACAGATAAATGCAATTGGATATAGATGGTTAACTCCAGAATGCGTAACCTTCAAAATCAAGGATAAAAAAGAAAAGATTGACTCTGTTCAGAAAGCATGGAAATTTTTAAGAGTCCAGATGGGAGGGTCAGGGAAAGAAGGAGAAAAAGGGGAGAACAGTAAGTTCAATGGCGAGCTGGACTCGGAATCCCCCGGGGAGGACTCTCTATCAGAGAAAGGGGTGGTAGCCCCTAAAAGGCCTTATAAGCTTCGGAAGAGACTAGGCAAGGAGAAGTAAAGGCTGAATTGTGTCTTTAAAAAATGTTGAAGTGAAATGCTTTGGGGTGTTTCTGTATGACAGTTAAACTTAAGATTTGAAAAAGAAAATGTTAAACTTGACTCAGTTGATAGTAGAATTAACGGGATCAAGACTAAATGTATGGTTAAGCTGGTGGGATGATCTCCTCTCTTAGGTTTTTAGTTAGTAGTGGGTATCTTTCTTTATCCTATAAATGTAGTTTCCCCTCCCCTTTTTCTGTTGTAGTTTGTAGTGTTATAAAAAATGTAATAAAAAAATCCCCTCCGGGGGCATAAAAAAAAGAGAGAGAGAGAAAGGTTGCTGAAGCTGAAAACTAATTCATAAATACCCTAACTTTGGAACCAATTGGCAAAGTTGTCAGACAAGGATATATTTTAGTTCCCTATCTCTTCAATCTATATGCTGAATATATAAGGAAAACTGGATTAGATTTAGATGACAGTAGAGTGAAAACTGGTGGAAGGTACATTAACTATTTGAGAAATGTGGATGATACATTACTGGCAGAAAACAGTGAAGATTTGAAATGACTACTAATGAAGGTTAAGCAGAAAGTGCCAAAGCAGGATTACAGATGAACACCAAGAAGACAAAGTAATGACTACTGAGGAATTAAACAACTTTAACACTGACAATGTTAAATCCCCGCCGACGTGGGGATTCAGGGGCTTGCCCTTCAATGGTTTGCCTCTTTCCTACAAGGTCAGGGACAAAGGGTGGTGGTCGGGGACTGGCGTTCCCATAGGTACCCCCTTGATTGTGGGGTCCCCCAGGGTGCGGTGTTGTCCCCGATGTTATTTAACATTTATATGCGCCCCCTTGCCCAGATTGCCCGGAGCTATGGGCTTGGGTGTCATCAGTATGCAGATGACACCTAGCTCTATCTGGTGCTGGGTGGCCGGTCGGACTCGAGTCCTGATGACCTCCACCGGGGACTGGAGGCTGTGGCTGGTTGGCTCCGGCTGAGCCGATTGAGACTAAACCCGGCGAAGACAGAGGTCCTGGGCCTGAGCTGGACCGGTGCGGGGTTAGGGCTCCCGCTCCCGACCTTCGACGGGGTGCCTTTGGTACCAACGTCTAGGGTTAGGAGTCTGGGGGTGCTCCTGGACTTCACATTAACAATGGAGGCCCAGGTGGCATCCACTGTCAAGTCAGCCTTTTATCATCTCCGGTTGGCTCGGCAGTTGGTCCCCTACCTTGACTGCGATGACCTGGCTACAGTGATCCATGCTACGGTCACCTCGAGGTTAGACTACTGCAACGCTCTCTACATGGGGCTGCCTTTGTCGCAGATCCGGAAGCTGCAGCTGGTGCAGAATGCTGCAGCCAGGCTGTTGACGGGTCTCTCTAGGAGGGACCATATTCAGCTTGTGCTGAAAGCGCTGCACTGGCTGCCGATAGCGTACCAGATCCGTTTCAAAGTGCTGGTTATTACCTATAAAGCCCTTTATGGTCAAGGTCCAGCCTACCTGAGGGACCGCCTTACCTCACATGTTCCCCCAAGAGCACTTCGGTCGGGGCCCCAAAATCTATTGGTTATACCGGGCCCCAAGGATGTCAAACTGGCCGGGACCAGGGCTGGGGCTTTTTCGGTGGCGGCTCCTACCTGGTGGAATGAGCTCCCGGGGGAGATCCGGGCCCTGCGGGACCTTGAGCAGTTCCGCAGGGCCTGCAAAACGGAGCTCTTCCGCCAGGCTTTTGAGTAGGAGCCGCCACCCTACTATACCACCACCGTCAAGACATCTGAATGGATGCATTGACGGGGCCCCAGGAAGAACTTGGAATTACATCAGAAACGCCGTCGTCACTGGATATGTACGCTGAGAATACCAGCTCGAGTTGTGAGGATACAGGGAGGGCGGGATATAAGTATGAAAAATAAATAAATAAATAAATAAATAAATAAATAAGCTGAAATTGTTAAAGATTTTCAATTCCTTATC